GACATACTGATTGACAGTTTAGAAACAAGTGATGGACACCTGCTCTGTTACTGATTGATGGATGGATGAATGAATAGATGACGGATGGATGGATGGATGGATGATGCATGGATGATGCATGGATGGATGGATGGATGGATGATGCATGGATGATGCATGGATGGATGGATGGATGGATGGATGGATGGATGGATGGATGGATGATGGATGGATGCATATACAGTATGATAGGTAGAAAAATGATGGATGGTTGGATTAATGGATGGATGGATGGATGGATGATGCATGGATGATGCATGGATGCATATATGATAGATAGATAAATGATGGATGGATGGATGGATGGACAGATAGATGATGGATGGATGATGCATGGATGATGGATGGATGGATGGATGGATGGATGGATGGATGGATGGATGGACAGATAGATGATGCATGGATGATGGATGGATGGGTGGATGGATGATGCATACATGATAGATAGATAAATGATGGATGGATGGATGATGCATGGATGGATGGATGGATGGATGGATGGATGGATGGATGGATGGATGGATGGATGGATGGACAGATAGATGATGAGTGAATTGATGGATGGATGGATGAATGGATCGATTAATGGATATGGATGCATACATGATGGATAGATAAATGATGGATGGTTGGATTAACGGATGATGGATGGATGGATGGATGGATGCATGGATGGATGGATGCATGGATGGATGGATTAATGGATAATGGATGTATGGATGGATGGATTGATGGATGGATGGATTAATGGATGACGGATGGATAAATGGATGTATGGATGTATGGATGGATGGATGATGGATGGATGGATGGATGGATGGATGATGGATGTATTAATGGATGATGTATGGATGGATAAATGGATGGATGGATGGATTAATGGATGATGGATGGATGGATGGATGGATGGATGGATGGGTGATGAATGATGATGAAGCTAAAAACTAAAATAAGCAAAAGCTCAATTTAGCACACAAAAGCTAAAATAAAACTAGTTGAACAGCAGCTAAAAKCTAAAATGATTAAAACAGCTGTAAAACCTAAAACTAACAGAAGAGTAGCTTAGAGCTAAATCCAGCAAAACAGTAGCTAAAAGTCAAAATAAGTAAAACAGTTGCTGTGATCTAAAATGAACAGAACAGCAGATGTAAGCTAAAAATGAAGCGATTTATCTGACGATCTCAAAATTTCTCAAGGATTTATAAATATCTCTGTAAAAATATGTCAATAAATTCAAAAAGTTAAAGCCGCAAACATCAAATGACCTGAATAAGCTGAACGTTTTAATGATGTGTGCTGAAGTATTTAGCTTTAAAAACTTACTGAAGCATCTAAAAGAAAAACTGGTGTTAAAGCTGACTCAGCACACAGATAACAGTGAGCAGATTTTATTTCTGAACATTTCCTGTTGCTGGCAAAGTGCAGAAACATTATAAAAAAAATGAAACCTACACGTCATAGTTTGCATTTTGGAATCAAGTGTCWGAGTGAATAAAGTTTCAGTAGATTTGGACGATGCAAAACACATGGAAACACCAACAGACTGCTGATGCAAACGTCTTGCAAAACCAAAGCAAAAGCAAGTAAAAAATAAATCAATGAATCAGATCATTCAGGTAAAGTTCTTCTTTATCGCCTTTATTTGGTCTTTCTGTTGCGGTCGATGATTTTTACTGTGCCTGCGTGTGCTTGTTACCAAAACATCTCATGACCCATTAAGCAAATTTAAATGAAACTTGAAACAAATTATCAAAAGAACACCTAAATTTGATTAAAGGGTCAGCCTCTTTCAAGACGGCCACCAGTTGATCTTAGAAAATATAAAAATGGCTGAAATTCAGTCATTTCATCAATATTGTGCTGAAATCTGAAGGAGTGTTTGTAGCTGAGTCATCCACAACATGTGTCTGTCAGCAAATTATTTCATGAACCACAGAATCAATTTCATTGAATCTTTCAGGAAGTAGTTACAATCAAAATTTGGCACCACAAAATTTCAATAACTCAGACTCCAAGCTTTAACAAGTCGTGCAAGCTTTTGCAAATCATGTGAGCTCATGGATGGACGCTGTTCTTAAAGTTTGACCAAAACATCTACAGTCATGTTAATAAAGCATTCAAAGATAGTGGGTGAAATGTCTTCTTTCCTGAACTATTCATTAGCTACAGACGTATATTTACAAATGTACAGGGTGAGTCGAAAGGTGCAGGACATGTTTATTTCAGAAACAAAAAGGAAAATGACATATCTACTGTAAATACCCCAACATGGAATGAGGGGGTCTATCTTTAGAAAAACTTGCCCTTCAGTCAATAGCTGCATTTCCATTGCAAATGTGCGCAAGACCTTGTCGATACTCTGTTAATGTTGAAAAACACAATTTTGCAATTGCAGTATTTCCATTAAGTAAGAACGTTTGTTCTCGCGATAAGTCATTACAAACATGGCAGTAATGGATGTAAGCACATGCATATTATTACCACAACACTAGCGCTCATCATCAGAGGAGACGTCGGCATCTTATCGAGGCTTTCGAGCGACGAGTCGGACGCTTTTTGCTTTCTCTCCCGAACGTGTCACTCCTTCCCTGCTTTGCAGCTGTGTCAAGCCTTTTTCTTCCACCTATCATCCAAAAACAAAAGGAATTAAGGATTTGGTCAACTGGTCTCTGAAAACAGACACTATTTTTTCTACACTGAGATTGGAGCGAGGGGAGCGCAGCTGTCCGAGTGGAATGGTCGCGGCCGGGTGTGTGTCTGGGTCTTGGGGGTGGAACCTGATCTGTTTGGTCCCGCTTTCCATCGAAGACATGGAAGATCTGTATATATTAGGATTTTTGATATCTGGATTCCTGCTGATCGGCTGTGGAGGAGTCCTGGCTTATCGGAAAATGAAAGTGATCCTGACAGCAGTCCGGGAATGTCAAAAGCTGTCAGGGACCGTGGATGAGATCTACCGTGCTGGGAATGCACAAACTCAAATGTTGGGGGATATAAGTTGCAAACTGGATGTGATTCTGACGAGGATCACAGTTCAGCAGTGTGCCCGTGAAGAGTAAGGTCACACCTGGGTGAAGTTTCAGACAGAGAGAGGCGAGGAGGCACTGAATTTGAAACACTGGCTTTTTTTTTTTTTGCAAACACAGAGATGCAGTTAAGACTCAAAGCAGAGAAAACCAAGCTGCTTGCCCCAAACAAATATGTTTATCATTGAATCCCTTGCAGCTGCTGACCTTAGGTCGCAAGCTATCAAACCTCCCTGAATGACACGTGAGAAAAAAGCCTTGACCCCACCTCCCTACACATTTCACTCGTGGTGTGGATCAGTCTGAAGGCCACGATGGGTGGAGACAGAGAACTGACTCTGGTGATTTGTGCTTTTGTTGACAACAACTTCTTTGGACTCTGGAGGTGCCTGATTGGTTCCGGCTCTGCAGAACTCCACCCCATACCATGTGTTTGTCCCCCCAACCCCCTCCCCTCCTTCGCTACCTTGCACTTGCAGAGTGATTTTTTGAGTGCATGGTCCTGTGTTTCTGTGTAAAACATAAGATCAAAGTTCTTTTTTAAACTCACCTTTCTCAGCGTGTGTGTATTTTAAGCTGCAAAGGTAGCGCACCTAAGTGCGAAAGACCATGGACATTCGTTCTCCCATGTTTGTTATGTGTGTGTTCTCCGAATGGATGTTCTAAACTGCAAATTCCCAGTCTGTGTTCAAACTTGGGAGCGGCTACGTATGCAGTGTTTTTGGGCAATTGTAGTCGGTGAGTTTACTGCTTTCTTTTAGAACTTCTGTAATTTTACTACTTCAACTTCCTGTTTTCTTCTTCATCGTCTTTTTCGCAAACAGCCGGTTGTTGATCATATGACTCCCATGATGCGAAAAAGTGTTTCCATATCAGTTTTGTGAAACACACCAATTCCGATAAGGCTGAAAAACTACCTCATCCTAGTGCAAAAACATTTAGTCAAAAAAGGAAGTTTTTTCGAAATTGACGTGTTTCCATTGAGCAAATTTATTTTCAAAATTCTAATTTGCACATTTTCATGGTCAATGGAAATGCAGCTAATATGGCAGCTTTCACAGTCATTTGGAACATGGCCCAAATCACGTGTCAAACTCAAGGCCCATAGGCCAAATGTGGTTCGCCACAGCATTTTATGTGGCTCACAAGCAATTCAAAATAAGCGAATGCTGCTTTAAAGGAACAGTGTTTAATATCAAGTGACATCTAGTGGTTGAAGTTCCGTATTGTAGCCAACTGAAAAATTTTTCCACAACAAAATCTCTGTGGTGGCTGTCAAAGCACATTGCATAGCAGCTTTAGAAATAGTGATATTTAGGAAAACCAGTTTGTCATTACAACACTGATAGGTCTTGATTTTGCTAGCCTTTTGTTTATCCTTTCTGAGCTACTGTAGCAACATTGCAGTGCAAAATGCTGACCTCAACCAGTGTCGACCCACTCCCACATAGATATAAACAGTTTAGTTAGATGTGTTTTTAATCATTTTTATTAGTGTTTATCTTAAATTCTACTGGAAAAATACGCCTAACTGTTACACTGTTCCTTTAAAGCCACCATAAATTATATCTCCCATAACACATGTCGATTATTTAACCTGCAAAATGACAGCATCCCGTCACTAGGTGGAGCTGCACAAAGTTCAAAAGTAGTCAATAACCGATGAAATTCACCATGTAAAATCTCTATTAAGGTGCATCTTTGCTGGATACTTTTTCTGCGGCCCAGTTATACAAGGAAGTGGGAATTTACTACTTGCGAGTCGTAAATTTAGACTCTCTTACTTTTACTAGTATTTCTTTGTTGTTTATTTCACATTATTGAGTTGTACACGTAGTACTTTTCAGTGTTCATAAGAGGACATGTTAAAACACTGTTTCTGTGCAGGAAATACCACGTAGAGCTCAGTTATTGTTTGTTAGCAGTGTTCAGCTGGAGAAACGAGACGAGGAACAGGAAGTTTTTGTGTTTAGTTTAAGTTAATTACAGCAGGACATTTGAGGGTCACCATAATGCTCATGTACAGGGCCCTCAGTGAAAATGAGTTTGACACTTCTGGTCTAAAAAGATAGACCGCCTCACTTTTACATGCCGGAGTTTTCAGATATTTAATTTCCCCTTTTCCTTTCGAAATAAAAGTCTTTTGACCCACCCTCTATACTAGATATTTTTAATTGTCATTTGTTGCACATAAATACATGTCATTATCTTTAAAACCTGCTCTCTGTTTGAAATCCCAGTTAAAAGCTACTCAGGTTTTCTAATTGACGTCTTTAATAACCAGTGGGTCAGTGTTCTTCCCTTCATCCAAAACTCCTGGACAGAAGAAGGGGAAAATCCTCTCAGAGAACAAACACCGTGTAAAAGTGTAGATGTGAGATCCAGTCCCCACATCGAAGAACGAAACCGTTCCTTCCTCGTAGTCCACAAACACCCCCACAATCTTTGGCTTTGTCCGAAGAGGAAGAAATACGGAGGGCGAGTCCAGAGCTCGATACTCGCTGCCGTTCCTCAAACGCACCGTCCAGAAGCCGTGCTCTGGCGTGGAGGTGATCATGCCCTTCCTGGTGACTGACTCTTTGACCACGCCCAGGTCCCAGAAGGTCTTGTTCCCAACTCCAACCTGGTTTACAGTCAAACAGATTCCTGGTGAGGCCTTTTGGTTCTGGTTTTGGACTCACTTCATGACCTTTTAACTTTGACATTCAGAAGGACATTACCTGAAAGTAGAACCTCCCAAACCGGTAGCTCTTCTTGCCCAGAACGCAGATGACGGGGTCGAAGCGTTTGGGGTTGTCAGGAACAAGGTTCAGCAGCTCCCCTCGACCCGCTTGCTTCCCATCAGCTGACAGGACAATGTTCGGATGGGCCGTATCTGGATCCAGAACCACGTCCACTACAGAGACATAGATCAAACAACACATTCGTGATCGAATGGTTGATGAAAAACAATAATTGTTGATATTAAGGAATTTAAAAGTTGGCCTTTACAAACACATAAGATTCAAATTTTATACTCATACCTGCGTATTTCTGCATCCTCCTTATCTCTGTAAGAAAAAAAAGATAAATATAAGAACAATGGATTCAAATCTAAAGGGAATAAATTGGCATCACTAAATGCTTGGCCATTCAAATTCTCCTGACTAAGTCTAAAAGTGGAGTATTGTGAAGTGAGACACTGAGAAACTCACTTATGTTTCCTCTGTAAGACTGAGAAGTCTTCTTGGGTGTTAGAGTGAGGCACTGTGGTGTAAACTGCTGCTGTTATGCCTCTGAGCCACCGTGGAGGTAGTCACAGAGTTGAAATGTTTGGTATGTGTAAAGATAAGGTAGCAGCTCAGCTTTGTTTTGACATTTTCTTTAAATAAGGACATAATATAAATTAACTTATTTATAAAAAATTAAGGCTGCCCTTTGTCACCGATTCTGTTCATTACTTTCATGGACAGAATTTCTAGGCGCAGCCGAGGTGTTGAGGGGATCCGTTTTGGTGGTCTTAGGATCGCATGTCTGCTTTTTGCGGATGATGTGGTCCTGTTGGCTTCATCGGAACGAGATCTGCAGCTCTCGCTGGAGCGGTTCGCGGCCGAGTGCGAAGCGGCCGGGATGAAGCTCAGTGCCTCCAAATCCGAGGCCATGGTCTTGAGCCGGAAAAGGGCAGAGTGCCTTCTCCGGGTCAGGGGGGTCGCCCTGTCTCAAGTGGAGGAGTTTAAGTATCTGGGGATCTTGTTCACGAATGGGGGAAGAACGGAGCGGGAGATCGACAGGCGGATTGGCGCAGCGTCTGCTGTAAAGCGGGTGCTGTACCGGTCCGTCGTGGTGAAGAGAGAGCTGAGTCAGAAAGCGAAGCTCTCGATTTACCGGTCGATCTACGTTCCTACCCTCATCTATGGTCATGAGCTTTGGGTCATGACCGAAAGAACGAGGTCCCGGATACAAGCGGCCGAAATGGGTTTCCTCCGCAGGGTTGCTGGGCTCTCCCTTAGAGATAGGGTGAGAAGCTCAGTCATCCGGGAGGGACTCAGAGTAGAGCCGCTGCTCCTCCACGTTGAGAGGAGCCAGTTGAGGTGGCTCGGGCATCTGGTAAGGATGCCTCCTGGACGCCTCCCTGGTGAGGTATTCCGGGCACGTCCCACCGGGAGGAGGCCCCGAGGAAGACCCAGGACACGCTGGAGGGACTATGTCTCTCGGCTGGCCTGGGAACGCCTTGGGGTTCCCCCGGAGGAGCTGGAAGAAGTGGCTGGGGAGAGGGAGGTCTGGGCCTCCCTTCTGAAGCTGCTGCCCCCGCGACCCGACCCCGGATAGGCGGAAGAAAATGGATGGATGGATGGATGGATGGATAAAATAATGTACTTTTAACTTCTGGTTGTAGCTCATTTACAGACATTCTGCTTGGTTGGACTTTTAAGGAAAAAAATAAACTTCTAACACAGTTAATACAGAAAGTACACAAAATGAAAACCACAAAAATAAATTTATGATTGAAATGCACAAACACAAACAAGCAGTTTTTGTATTTATCAATATTAGGACCTTGTACAGACTTCAATCCAATTCCTGTAACATCTGCAGCATAACCCTAAAGCTACACCCCACCTCCAGGTACATCATCCCCTCCTAATTTATACCATCGTCCTACATCAAACCCCGAACCCATCGATGGTGTTCCACTAGGACCAGATTTTGGTCCCTTACAGGACTACTGGTCCTGACAAGGTAGGTGTTTATTCCAGAAACGGTCCTAAAAAGGTAACAATAAGTAGGCACACACCCACATATTATGTCTTTTTGTCTTCAAGGGACTTTCCATTGACTTCCATCCACCCCCAAAAAACTGACAAGTAGATGGACATCTTGGATTGTGTATTTGCATTCAAAATTTTGTTAAAGATTGTTCTCTGATAATACTGTACTACAGTACAAAAAATTTCAGCTAAAGCTAATTTTAAAAATTAGCATCAGCACAAGTCATTATCTTAATTTGGGATTAGCTTGAGCAATCAGCATGTGATCATTCTAACCCACTCCACAACAAATTTAATCTCAATACGTCCAAAAATGGCTGAATCATGGCTTTTTAAAGTTAACAGTGGTGGCCATCTTGAATTTGGTAAAATTTGTTTTCAGCTATAGTCTCAGTGGCTGTTGTAACTAGCATTCAGCATGTTTTTTTTTTTTTTGGATCATTCTTGTCTATGCTTACACAAAATGTCAGCTCTATAATGCTTAAAACAGCTGAATTAAAGCAATTTGGAATTAGTTGTTTTCAAAGCCAAAGTGATTTTCTTTATCTGTATGTGTCCCTTTAAAAAACACCTTGGCCACCCCTGGGCCACCCCTTGCAACAAAGTCTTGCTCCGCCCCTGTACACACATGCACAAAAAATAAAATAAAAATAATATATATATAATAAAAATGGTAGAAAAATAAGACTGCAGTGGTAATGTCAACCAATAACTGGTATACAGTATACTATATAAACTAATATTAATGTGTTCAGATGTTTTTTTTGTTTGTTTTTTTGCTGTTTGAGAACTGATCCAAAACTGAGGAACTTCAAACAAAAGGAAGATTGTCCAAATAATATTTTGCTCTTCTTTGCTTTATAGTTTATATTATCTGCTCATCTTTTTGATGCCCCTCCTGTTGGTTAATAGACATTTTACTAACTACAGTACCTCTGGATCAACACACGTTTTATTTAAAAATGAACGAGACATGCTTCACCTTCTTTCCTCAAATTGTCCAGCTCAGTCTGTACTGTACAGTGCAGTTTGGACATTGCTGTCCTCACTGTCCCCACACAGAGCTCCGGGTAGATGCTGATTTCTGTCCATTCTCGGGTGGGAGGCGGTGAGATGAGCGAGGGCAGTCTCTAAAAGTTTAGGGGTGAAAATAAAAGTTTTTTTTCTGCACTGAACTGAAACAATTTAATGTTTCTGTTTTTTGTCTGTTTGCAATAAAACTCTGATTATCATGAGTTCTTGTTAGATTTCTAAACGTGCGGTGTTTCACCACAGTCTGAGGCTGACCTGGAGGAGGTGCAAGTGGTCCTCGGAGGTCTCCAGCTCCTTCAGCTCGGTCCTTCTCCTCTGCAGCTCGGTGGTCTCCAGCTGCAGCTCTCTGATCAGCTCCTCGGCTCTCACCTCTTCTGCTCTCTGCTTCTCCTCGATCGCTGTGTTGACCTCAGCCTGTCTCTCTGAGACGGAGTGGATCAGAGACGCAAAGAGACGGTTGCTGGTTGTCTTCTCCTTCTCTGCGCTCAGCTGAGGGGAAAATCACACAAAGTATATTTCAGTGACTGGAACAGTATGTTTTCTGTGATACTGATGTCATATTTTTTGCATTAACTTGTGAATTTGTCCCAAAAATTGTATGTTTTACAAACCATTCAAAATTAGTTTTAATTTATTTATTATTATTATTATTATTATTATTATTTTGGTTGTAGAATTTCTGTACAACTATGTAAACCTCAAAGAGGTTTGAAGGAACACGAGGGCCCAAAACCATATTGTCTGATGAACTGATTTTGTGATAAACGTCTCGTCTTTCCTTCTGGTCCTTTTAGAACTTCTGATTTAGGAAACGCTTCAGTTCTTTAAAAGATTAAAGTTCTCAATGTCAATGTCAAATTTATCTGTACAGCACATCAAAACAACAAAAGCTGACCAAAGTGCTTTACAGTTCAGTCAAGACTTGTATCAAAAGGCAAACAAATAGATACATATGCAATACAGAAACACACTGTAAAATAAAAGCTCTAACTGAACCTCCAACTCCGTCGTAGTCAAAGACCAAAAAAAAGAAAAAGAAAAGAGATGGGTCTTCAGCAAAGATTTAAAAGCCTCAACAGTCTCTGCTGACCGAATATTGAGGCAGACTGTTCCACAGCTTTGGAGCAGCTATTGCAAAAGCCTGGTCAGCTCCAGATTTCAGTTTGGATCTAGGAACATCTAACAGAAACTGGTTGGTAGACCTGAGTGATCTGACTGGAGTGTAGATGTTAAGAAGATCACATAAATATGACATGGCCAGACCATTAAAAACTTTAAAAGCCAACAATAAAATCTTAAAATCAATTCTCAGGTGAACAGGAAGCGAATGGAGAGAGGCCAGGACCGGGGTTATGTGTTCATGTTTTTTAGTAGCTGTTAAAAGACGAGCTGCTGCGTTCTGGACAGTCTGTAGGCGATGCAGAGATGATTTATCCAAACCAGCATGCAAAGAATAGCGAGTAATAAAAGCATGAATCACCTTTTCAAGGTCTTTAGTGGGGAGATATGATTTCACCCTAGCAATTAGTTGGAAAAAAACTTGATTTTACAACCGAATTAATCTGTTTATCCAATTTAAAGGCACCGTCAAAGAGAAAACAGATTCCTGACAGTAGAATGGCTGAATGAAAATAAAGGGCCAATGTCATGAGAATTAACTTTACCTAAAGTGATTACTTCAGTTTTACTCTCATTTAGATTCAGAAAGTTTAGTTTTAGCCAGGTTTTTATATCATTCAGACAGCTGAGCGTCCCAACTTAATGGGCATATAGACCTGGATATCATCAGCAAAGCAGTGAAAAGTGATGTTATACTTTCTGAAGATGGACCCCAAAGCAACATATTCACAAGTTTTAATAAAAAAGTTAAATCTTTACTTTAAATTCTGACCAACGTATAAATCACTGCAACATGAACAAAAAGAAGTGTTCAGATTACTCAAAATCACTATGTCAGGGCTATTCAACTGATGGCCCAGGGGCCACATTTGGCCCATGTGTGAGCTCAGTCTGAACATAAATAAAAAAAATTAAGAAACTGTGAGAGAAACATAAAGAAAATAAAATCTGAAAAAAATATTTCTGTTTGAGAAGTGATCCTGTTGTATAAATGATGACAGGGAGTTGATTAAAAAAAACGGATTTTAAATCCTAAAATAAATTTAAATAATGACAAAAATTTCCAGATGTTCGGCTCATGAGCCTTCCAGTAACGTGACCCAACTCTACGTCCTATTTTATGAAGCAGAAGTGCGGTGAGAACTTTGAAGCCTCGTTTATAATCTAAGCTCTGTCTTACTTTGCTGAGCTTCAGACAGTTTCTGATCTCCTCCACTTTCTTCTGTCGCTCCTCAGCCAGGTTTTGAAAATCTGCCTCAGTCTGCTTCACTTGGACCTGAACAGGCAGAAAACAGACCCATGGATTTATGGAGAAAGTGAACAATCTTTTAAGAGATTTTCTTGTAAACCACAGGTATCAGATCCATTTTACAGCTGAGTTTATTGCTGTTAACACATTCTACAAACAAAATCAGTCAAATCTTAGTAACCAACAGTTCTAAGACTACAGAGAGTTACAGTTTCTGCAAAATGAAACTTTTTCAGTTTGAGTTTTTCATATCAGGACTGACCCATGTCTTAAATTTAAATGACCTCAAGTGCAACAAAAACAGAAAAGATTCCATCATGTCCTCATTTATAAAACTTAAATCAAACCATAAAAGTTCCACCACAAAGATTCAGTCAGGTTGAGGTCCGAACTTTGACTCTTTTCCCTTTTTTTCAGCCGTTCTGTTAATCAGCTGCTGTGGGATTATTGGGCCTCTTGCAAGAACATATTCGTATTCTTCTCCTAAATTTCTCTTACTTTTGTTCGTACAAAGGGTTCGTACGAACATGTCACGTCAGATTCAACAAACTC